CATTTCCTACCTACTAACCTCATCCCGCCCCCTTGACCTGTCCATCCTCCCTGGACTGACCTATCTCCTCCCTAACTCCCCACCTACACTCACCTTCACTGGCTCCATCCCCGCCTCTTTGACCTGTCTGTCTCCTCTCCACCTATCTTCTCCTCTATCCATCTTCTATCCGCCTCCCCCTCTCTCCCTATTTATTTCAGAACCCCCTTCCCCTCCCCCATTTCTGAAGAAGGGTCTAGGCCCGAAACGTCAGCCTTCCTGCTCCTATGATGCTGCTTGGCCTGCTGTGTTCATCCAGCTCTACACCTTGTTATCCCAGTCTATAGTTACCTGGTTTTTTTCTTACTGCCTTTCTTAAATAGCGGCATCACGTTAGCCAACCTCCAGTCTTCCGGCACCTCACCTGTGGCTATCCAAGATACAAATATCTCAACAAGGGACCCAGCAATCACTTCTCTAGCTTCTCAGAGTTCTAGGGTACATCTGATCAGGTCACTGGGATTTATCCACCTTTATGTGTTTTAAGATATCCAGCATCACCTCCTCTGTAATATGTACATTTTTCAAGAGATCACTATTTATTTCCCAAGTTCTCTAGCTTCCATATCCTTCTCCAGAGTAACAACTGAAGCAAAATACTCGTTTAGTATCTCCCTCATCTCGTGCGGTTCCACATATAGGCAGCCTTGCTGATCTTTAAGGGGCCTTATTCTCTCTCTAGTTACTCTTTCGTCCTGGACGTATTTGTAGAATCCCTTTGGATTTTCCTTTAGCCTATTTGCCAAAGCTATCTCATGTTCCCTTTTTGCCCTCCTGATTTCCCTATTTAGTATACTCCTACTGCCTTTATACTCTTCTACAGATTCACTCGATCCCTGCTGTCTATACCTGACATGTGCTTCCTTCTTATTCTTGACCTAAATCTCAATGTCTCAAGTCATCAGCATTCCCTACACCTACCAGCCTTGTCTTTCATCCTAAAAGGAACACACTGTCTCTGGACTCTCATTATCTCATTTTTGAAGGTTTCCCAGTTTCCATCTATCCCTTTATCTGCTCTGCCTCCATTCAACATTTGAAAGTTCTCCCCTAATACCGTCAAAATTGGCCTTCCTCCAATTTAGAACTGTAACTTTTAGATGCGATCTATCCTTTTCCATTACTATTTTAAAACTTATTAGAATTATGGTCACTGGCCCCAAACAGCTTCCCCACTGACACCGCAGTTACCTGCCCTGCCTTATTTCCCAAGAGTAGGTCAAGTTTTTCACCTTCTCTGGTAGGTACATCCATATACTGAATCAGAAAATTTTCTTGTACACACTTAAATTCCTCTCTATCCAAGCCCCTAACACTATGGTAGCCCCAATCTATGTTTGGAAAGTTAATATCCCCTACCATAACCACGCTGTATTCTTACAGATAACCGAGATCTCCTTACAAATTTGTATTTGACGTAGTGTTTGACATTTGACAAACACAATGACTATCCATCACTATCAATGCCTCTCATAATTTTACACACTTCTATCAGGTCATCCCTCACCCTCCAACACTAGTGAAAACAATCCAAATTTGTCCAATCTTTCCTTGTAGTTAACACACTCCAGTTCAGGCAACTGAATGGTAAAACCCTTTAGTATCCTCTCCAAAGTTTCTAAATCCTTCCTATAGTGAGGTAACCAGAACTGCACACAATACTTCAAATGTGGCATAATGTAAATTTTATATGTCTGCAACATTACTTGCCAACTTTTAGACTCAATGCCCCAACTGATGAAGGCAAGCATGCTGTAGGCCTCAGTTACAAGCTTGTCAACTCGTTTTGCCACTTTCAGGGAGCTATGTACCTGGACCCCAAGATCCCTCTATATATCAATGTTCCTAAGGATCCAGTCATTCACTGTATACTTACCTCTTGCATCTGACCTCCCAAAATGCATCACATCACACCTGTCTGAATTAAACTCCATCTGCCATTTCTCCACCCTACTTCCAGCTGATCTATATCCTGCTGTATCCCTTGATACCTTTTGTCATGATCCACAATTCCAAATTCCAAATTTTCATCCAAGGCATTTACATATATTACAAACAGAGATCCCAGCACTGATCCTCGCAGAACACCACTGATCATAGATGTCCAGTCAGAAAAAACACCCCTCCACAACCACCCTCTGTCTTCAATAGACAAATTTGTATACTAATTGTCGACTCAGCATGGATTCAATGCAATTTGTCTTGTGGACCAGACTACCACAAGGGACATTATTAAATGCTTTAGTAAAGTCAATATAGACAACATCCATTGCCTTATCGTCAATCATCTTCATTATTCCTTTAAAAAAACTCAATCAAATTTGACAGACAAGGCCTCTCTTGCATAAAGCCATGTTAACTAAACCTAAAAAGGGCACACTTCACAAGTGCAAGTAAATCCTGCTCCTAAGAATCTTCTTCAATCATTTCCCTACAATTGATATAAGGTTCACCAGCCCATAATTTGCTGGATTCTCCCTGTTGCACTTGAACAAAGGAACAACATTAGCTATTGTTCTGAGGAAGGGTCACCGGACCCAAAACGTTAGCTCTTTTTTCCTTCACAGACGCTGCCAGACCTACTGGGCTTTTCCAGCAACTTTGCTTTTGCTCCTGATTTACAACATTAGCCATCCTTCAGTTTTACGTGACCTTGTCTGTGGCTAAAGAGGACAAAAAGATCTTTGACAAGGCTTCAGCAATCTCCTCCCTTGGCCCCTCAACATCCCATCAGGCCCTAGGGACTTATCTACCGCAATGATTTTCAAGACACCTGACACCACCTGCCGCTTAATATCAACATGGCCTAAAAAATAAAATCAACAAACCCCTCTCTAAATTTACATGGCTTTGTTCTTGATGAATATCAATGCAAAAAGTAATCCTGAAAGACCTCACCCACTTCCTGTGACTCCACACAAACTCCTTCCTTGGTGCTTCAGTGGGCCTACCCTTTCACCATTTATCCTCTCGCTGCTAATACAAGTAAAGAAACCTTGGAATTCTCCTTAATCCTACTTGCCAAGGACACTTCATGGTCCCTTCTAAAGTTTTAAAATTTTTTTCTGCCTGAACCTTACAAATGCTTCCTTTGTCTTTTTAACTAAATTTACAACATCTCTCATCATCCAAGGGTCCCGAATATTGCCATCCTTGTCCTTCATCTTCACAGGAACGTGCTGATCCTGAACTCTGGTCAACTGGCCTTTAAAAGACTTCAACATCAGATACGGAGTTACTTTCAAACAGCTTCCCCAACCCAATTTTTTTTTCAGTTCCTGCCTAATATTGTTGTAATTAGCCTTCCCCCATGTTTAGCACTTTCACCCAAGGATCAGTCTTACCCTTATCCATAACTATCTTAAAACTTACGGAATTATGATCACTGTTGCCAAATGCTCCCATACTGGAAATTGGATCACCTGGCCAGGCTCATTCTCCAATACAAAATCTAGTACGGCCCCCTCTCTTTTTGGACTGTCCACATATTGTTTCAAGAATCCATCATGTACGCACCTAACAAATTCTGCTCCATCTAAGTCCCTGACACTAAGCGAGTCCCAGGCAATATTGGAAAATTAAAATCACCCACTACCGTAATCTTCTTGTTTTTATGTCTTTCTATTATCTGTGTGCACATCTGTTCATCTGATTCCCACTAGCATTTCGGAGGGCTATTGTATAATCCCATCATAGTGATTACACCTTTTTTTTTTAAAATGTATTTATTTTTGGGGCATGTGGGCGTCGCTGGCTGGCTGGCCGGCCAACACTTATTGCCCGTACCTGGTTACCCTTGAGAAGTTGGGGGTGAGCTGCCTTCTTGAACTGCTGCTGTCCTCCTGCTGTGGGTTGACCCACAATGCCGTTAGAGAGGGAAATCCAGGATTTTGACCCAGCAACAGTAAAGGAACAACGATACATTTCCAAGTCAGGATGGTGAGTGACTTGGAGGGGAACTTGGAGCCAGTGGTGTTCCAATATGTCTGATGCCCTTGTCCTTCTAGATGGAAATGGTGGTGGGTTTGGAAGGTGCTGTCTGAGGTTCTTTGATGAATTTCTGCAGTGCATGTTGTAGATAGTACACAACTGCTGTTACTGAGCGTCGGTGATAGAGAGAGTGGATGTTTGTGGATGTAGTGCCAATCAAGCGGGCTGCTTTGTCCTGGACAGTGTCAAGCTTCTTGAGTGTTGTTGGGGCTGCACTCATCCAGGCAAGGCACACTCCTGACTTGTGCCTTGTAGATGGTGGACAGGCTTTGGGGAGTCAGGTGGTGAGTTACTCAGTGCAGTATTCCTAGCTTCTGACCTGCTCTTGTAGCCACGGCATTTATATGGTGAGTCCAGTTGAGTTTCTGATCAATGATAACCCCCAGGATGTTGATAGTGGGAGATTCAGTGATGGTGGTTAGATTGTCTCTTTTTCATGGTTATAGCCTGGCATTTGTGTGGTGCAAATGTTACTTGCCACTATTCAGCCCAAGCCAAGATACTATCCAGATCTTGTTGCATTTGCACACGGACTTCTTCAGTGTCTGAGGAGTCACAAATAGTGCTGAACATTGTGCAATCATCAGCGAACATCCCCACATTTGACCTTAAGATAGAGGGAAGGTCATTGATGAAGCAGCTGAACATGGTTCGGTCTAGGATACTACCCTGAGCAACTCCTGCAGAGATGCTCTGGAGTTGAGATGACTGACTTCCAACAACCACAACCATCTTCCGATGTGTCAGATATGATTCTAACCTCAGCTCTTTTGTCCATGTTTGAACCAAGACTATAATGAGGTCAGGAGCTGAGTGACCCTGGCAGAACCCAAACTGGGCATCACTGAGCAGGTGCTGCTTGATAGCACTGTTGATGACACTTTACTGATGATCAAGAGTAGACTGATGGGGCGGTAACTGGCAGGGTTGGATTTGTCCTGCTTTTTATGTTCAGACATACTTGGGCAATTTTCCACATTGTCAGATAGATACCAGTGTTGTAACTGTACTGGAACAGCTTGGCTAGGGGAGCAGCAAGTTCTGGAGCACAAGTCTTCAGTACTATTGCCGGAATGTTGTCAGGGCCCGTAGCCTTTGCAGTATCCAGTGCCTCCAACCCTTTCTTGCTATCACGTGGAGTGAATCAAATTGGTTGAAGACTAGCATCTGTAATGCTGGGGACCACTGGAGGAAGCTGAAATGGATCATCCACTCGGCACTTCTGGCTGAAGATTCCTGCAAATGCTTCAGCCTTATCTTTTGCACTGATGTGCTGGGCTCTTCCATCATTGAGGATGGGGATATTTGTGGAGCCTTAACTTCCCAAGTTCTACTCATA